TGACCAATTGACCAATTTGACCAGACCAATTTGACCAGCAAATTTTTGGTCGACCACTAATTTGCCCAACACTGATATAAACGTAAAAATTACAAAAATTTGCAAAATTTAAAATTTATATATAAGACATATAATATTGCAAAAATTTGCAAAAATTTATATGATATATAGATTTGCAATATTACAATTATTTTCAAAAATTTGCAACAATTTGAATTTATTTATAAACGAAGATTATAATTTTGCTAAATTTTAAAAATTAATTAAATAAATTATACTTATTTGAATCTTTAAAAATAATTTTGTACTGATTCGATATATACTAAATTTTCTTCATTATTCTCAAAATAATTTTGCATATTTTGATGTGTTCTAAATTTTAATTTCTTTTTAGAGATCTTTAAATTAGTAAGATTCTCTTTGTTAATTAAACAAAAATGACAAGGGTATTTTGAATTTGTTGACTTGTATATCAAACAAAATATTGCAGCCTTAGGCTAATTTGCAATTATAGTTAAAATTTTTGGAAAAAACTATATATACTTGTCACCAAATAATAAATCAATATCACTTTCTGATAAAGATCGAATTGGTTCTAAAATTATTTCTAAATATTTATAAAATGGTTGTCTAATTATAGATTTGTCTATACTAGAAGATAATTTTATTATTAGTAAATATCCTAAAAGTTGCTTTGCATCTTGCTTGTTTCTTCTCCAAGTTGGTATATTACTAAGAGACAAATATATAGGATGAAGTTGACTTTTTCCTAAATTATCACAATTTGTTGCATCAGAATACTAAATAATTGATAGAATTTTAGAACCAATTGGCAAAGAATTTTGTGTAGATTTTTACTATATTTTATTATTTTGTTCTCTATAAATAATTTCTGTCATTCTATAAAAAATAAATTTATAAATAAAGTTAAAAATTAAATTATACAAAATATAAAACATAGGATGTGGCAACTTAGTAAAGTGGTAAAGTTGTCGCACCCCTAGACAGCAGGTCTAGAGTTTAAATCCCATGGATGACGATTTTAAAAAAATTAGATCTGTATTAGTTAACGTTAAGATTATTGGTTGTATCCAGATATCTATAATCTTGGTTACACCATCTCGAATAGGAGCTTCGGTGCAATAAATCCAGAAAACCAGAATGACCGAAAATGCATTTGGCAAGTCCCAAGTGTGGAGTAATAGTGATCTTTGACAGTGCTACAGGAAGGCCAAATTTGGAACCAAGGGCTGAGCCAGAGAACCAAACGACCAGATCCTTAAATGGGAAATATACCAGCTGAAACACCAGACCACCAACTGAAGTAAAAGAACTTGTGCTTTGGAAGTATGTACCAAGAGGAGAGCGACTGTGAGGCACCTAAAGCCTGGGCAGACCAACTCTTCTGGGTTGCCAGCTGGAAGTGAGGGAGAAACCATTAAAGAATTCAGGGAAAAAGGAAGTTAGAATGTGAGCACCAGTGTTGTTGTGAACCTTACAAGGGCAAGGAGTATGTAACAGGATTCTAATTAGAAAAGTTGTGGCTTGAGATACAGATTGGGTTATGGCAGTATCTAAAAAGATTGCTTGAGATACAAACCTGATAGCAGCAGTACTAGTTAGATAAAAGTTACCAAAACATGCAAGTAAATACATAAGTAGAACATATACCATTTTGTTAGGTTTACTACAAGGATAAATATCCCAATATGGTTTGGTTAAAGTTTTAGGGTCATCTACGGCAATTGCTAATCTCAAATAAGTGTTAGAGTAGGGTGTGTTACAAAAGTAGTAGCTAGAGGATTTAAATGGGTAACTCCCTAGTTGGGTTATAGATACGGTAGCTAATATGGAATCTAGGGCAGACTACTTAAATAGGTAACCAAAAATTGCATGTATAGCTAGTCATACTCTCATTAGAAATGGGGTCTTTGTCTTGAAAATAAGGTTCCAAGATTCCCCAAACCAAAAATAAGATTTTTGTTTAATATTAATCTATAAAACATAAAGCTTATTTTGTACCAATTTTATAGTATGTTAACATAATATTAAACCAGGTTACAGAAGTCCAGATTTTTAGACCAAATTTGGTGAAAAATTTTTTCAAAGATCTAAAAATAGAATGGAGATGATCGACATAATGGATAAACATTTTACTGTTATACAATATATATTTTTGTACTACCAGAAATTTGCCTTGAAAATAACTCTACAGAACATCATTACACAAATTTAATCATTATTCAATTATAAGAAACTTCACTATCATGTGTTACTACCCACAATATATAGTTTACACTTTATATTGTGTACTATGATTTATCTAACTTTTTTACATTCTTTTCATTTTTTCTTCTATCATATTCAAATGAGTGAAATAGTGATCTGATTGTAAGTTTAGTGTATAGCATACAAATGCAAAGTAAAAAAATAAAGGCAAAAAAAACCAGAAATCAAAAAAAACTTTTAAATTCACAAAAGTTTTCAACACAAAAATTTAAATTTATCTTTTTATATACTTTGTATTAATGCAAACATTAATTTTTAGATGAAAATTAGAATATCATTGTTATTGAATTAGTCACGGGACTGCCAAATTTTTGCACCATCACTATTTCACTCATCTGAAATACTAAAATTATCTGGATACCAAAAATTCTAGAAATTCTGGTATTAGCTACATTAGTATCATTGGGGAAAGAAGTCAATTTTGACTTTCACAACGTATAGTATATTTTAACTAATGTGCATATTATGTAGACCCTGAAATCATTTTCAAGCAAGCGAATTTAAAATTTTAGCAAATCAGAGTAAACCTGGGAAAATTTTGTAACTTTAAATAGTATGGTACATAATCAATTTTTTTTCACTATTATTTATTAATAAGGTATTTGAGAACAGCCTAAATTAATTCTATTGTATTTCTAAGTTAGTACATACATGTATATAGACAAATGTATTACAGTAATACATTTACAGTATAATGCATTGAAATAACATGCATGTGGTTTTAAAGATACTGTAATTTTCATCTTTTTTTGGATAGTACAGTAGTAATCTCTTCGTGGCAATCTATAGCAATCTAATTTCTGATAAAATCCTGTTACTTTTATACATAATAATTACCAAAACTTGGCCAATGTATATCTAAACTTTTGACTAGCATATATATAATAAATAATGCTGGATCAAGGCTATAAGTACGACTTTAGCTATGTAGTATAGAATGTTATAAATATAAGAAGTACCAGCATCTTTTTAGAACTTAAAAGTAAACCTGCACTGTATGTAACCTGTTCTCCCAATAATAATAATATAGTTAGTATTGTTATTATATATATATACATTTATACATACAGATGTATCTTTATTAATTCAAGCTTTTAGCTTATCTTGCACGATATATTACATCGACTAATTGAATATTCTTACATATACAGTTTATTTTTTAACATTGTACTATATCTATTTTTTTTTTTTAAAAAAAAAAAAAAATATCACAACAATTAACTATTAATACTTTAAAGCCTGTTTACAATTTGATTGAACTAGAATTAGATGATTATGAGGAAAATGATCTAGTTCTTGATACAATTTATAACTTAAGTTTATTTTTTGAGAATTCTACTAATTGTACTTGCCATCAAACTCCAAGACAAAAAGATCTTAGAATCTGCTTTGAAAAAGTAGGTTTTAAATGCTTTTTTGAAAGATATTTTGAGTTAAAAGCTTTGGAAGAACACGAGCTTGAACTTTTTATAAAATTGCAGTTAATGTCATTCGAACTTACTAATGAAAAATCAGTTAATAAAACTAATAAAAAACATACATATAAATATAACTATAATAGTTTTTTGCCTCTTTGCAGGCCCGCATATTTAAAATTATATAGAATTAATGATTACTTACTTTCTACTTTACAAAATCATTTGCAATCAAATGGATTAACTGAACATGTTTATGGAAATACTGGACATGCATCTAAAACAGAATCAAGAGTTTTTTTAGAGTTTAATATAACATTTTCAATTAAACAATTTTTAATACAATATGGAACAGTTCATGAATTTCCTTCTCCATTATGACATCAGGACGATTCTGGTATTTTCATTTATCTTCCAACTGGACAAACTTTTGTTTCAGTTTATGATGAATATAAAAAAATTTTTTATCTTACTTACGACCAATCAGAAAAAATAATTTCTTATTTTACCTTTAGAAGATTATAGTATGAAATGGTTCCTAATCTTCGATTTCAACCACGTACAAGCAATCTTTGTGAAGTTTGCTCTTCTTTTAAAGCTAAATTGTTAGTTGCAAAGCGAGATATAGACGAATATAACAAAGTTTAAGTTGAATATGACAAGCACAAGAAAGCTGCGGATCTTGAAAAACAGCACTATAATAATAATATTAATGAAAGTATAAATAATCCAAATATTACGCATGTTTGTTATAATTGGGCGCAAAATGTTCATATACCTTATTTGCCACAACAAGTAGGTTCACTTTACTTTAAATCTCCTTTCTCCGTACATATATTCAGTGCTTGCAAAACTGGTGAGCAAAATAATCAACTAAATTTTTTGATTGGCAAAAATGAATTTCCTGAAGGCGTTTCAAAAGGAGCTAACACCACATTAAATATGGTCTATTATTTTCTTCTAAAAACTAAAAAAACAAAAAAAATACGAATTACTTGTGACAATTGCAGCGAACAGAACAAAAATAATTTATCACTTTGGTTTTGGTCTTGGTTATATCTATTAGGTTGGTATGAAGAAATTATTGTTAATTTTATGCTTCCAGAATATACGAAGTTCATCTGCGATTCATTTTTTGGACAAATTAAGAAAGTATATAGAGATAATCATGTTAACACTATTGATGATATAGAAAATACTGTAAATTATTTATCAAAAGGAAATAAAGCAATTCGGTATAAAAATAATATAGGTTGGGTTTGGTATGATTTTAACTCTTTTTTAAAAAATAACTTTACACCTTTACCAAATATCAAACAATATTATTATTTTCAATTTAATAGCTTAGAGATTGGAAAGGTTTATATCTCAAAAAAGTCAGGCGGAGAAGAAACTTCTTTTCAGTTATTGCATAATAATGATTTTGATGCAAATGGTAAATTAAATATTATTTCTATTGTATCTTTATCAAATGATCGAAAAAAATATTTATACATGAAAATTCATCAACAATGTTGATAACCCATATAAAGATGTTCTTTGTCCACAGCCTTAATACAATAAGACCTCTTTAAGTGCACCCTCTATAAGTAGAGTGATATATAAAGAATTATGGTATGAAAAATAAAAATAGTAGCATAGCACAATTTTGAATTTTTATACTCATACGTATAATTAATAATTAGACTTATAATACTTATAAGTATAAAGGTAACTATACTTAAGAGTATAAAAGTAACCATACTTATAAGTATACTTTGTACGTTTATTTAAACTGGCCATATTTTAGTATTTGTAGATTTTTTTTTTTACAATTATAATGCTAATTTACTTTTTTTACAGATATTTAAATCTGTAAAATCATGTGACTAGCCTTCAAATATTGAAATACATACCTATTCTAATTTTCACTTTTTAATTTTGATTTTACAAAATCTGATTCGTATTGTGTTCATGAAATGCTAGATAATGAGAATTTACTATATAGGATATCAGGTTGTTAGAATAAAAGGTTATAATAAGAAATGAAAATGTGAAGCGAATATTTCAAGTAATATGTATACTAGTGTTGAAGATGATTATAAGAAATGCAAGTGATTGGGACCAAGATCTGATGCATAATATAACGTGATAAATTAGCAATTAATTAAAAATAAAAAAGTATAGGATAGTAAAACGAAGTATTAGAAAGTTATTGTAGAGAATGATATAAAGAATGTAATTGGAGTGTAATATAAAGGTAAAGAAAAGTAAAATTATTTTCTCAAATTAGTTTCTAATCGAAATTCATAATTTTGATTGGTTGATATGCTCTGGGCCCCAAAGTATCCCTAAAATCTGCAAAGATCAATGATCAGCATATCTAAATTAGCGACAAATCAAATTTGGGTTGTTTTAGTTACACAACCTTTAATTGCTATTTACTCAAAAAAAATTACTATGTGCCGTAAAGTCATTTTCAAGGCAAAAACCCCATTTAGTAAATAAAAAAGAATGTAGCAACTTAGTAAAGTAGTGAAGTTGTCACACCCCCAGACAGCAGGTCTAGAGTTCAAATTTTATGGATGATGATTTTGAAAAAACTAGATTTGTATTGGTTAATATTAAGATTATCAGTTAGACTTAGATATCTGTAATCTTGGTCACACTATCTCGAATAAGAGCTTTGGCATAATAAATTCAGGAAACCAGAATTACTAAAAACCTGTTTGGCAAGTTCCAAGTTGGGAGGTAGTATGACTTTCGACAGTACTACAGAAAGACTGTATTTGGATCTAGAAACTAAGATTGGAGAATCGAGTGACTAGGTTCTTTAGTAAAGAGATATATCAGCTAAACTGCCAAATTGCCAACTGGAAGAAAAGGATATGTGCTTTGGAAGCATGAATCAAGGGGAGGGAGACTATAAGGTACATAAAGTCTGGGCAGACCAACCCTTCTAGGTTGTCAGCTAGAAATAAGGAAGAGATCAGTAAAAGAATCTAAGAAAGAAGAAAAGTCAAATGTAGATATTAGGGTTGTATAAACCTTATAAAAGCAAGGAATATGTAATGAAAAACTAATTAGAAAGGTTGTGGCTTAAGATACAGATCAGGTTACAGCAGTATCCTAAAGGATAGCTTGAATTACAAACCCAGTAATAGCAGCAAAACAGGTACTAGTTAGGCAAGAAGTTACTAAACATGCAGGTAAAAACATGTGTGGGATATAGACTACTCTGTTAGGTTTATCTTGTAGATAAAGATTAGCCAGAAATAGTTATGAAGTCCTAAGATAGGTGCAAAATCTATAGATATCGCAAAATCTATATATAAATAGTAAGTTATATCTTGGTTAGATTAGAAATGGATAATAGTTGTAATCAAGGTGTTTAAATAGATATCTTTGTAGTTGGGATGCAGGTATGGTAGCTAGTGTGGAACCTAGGGCAGACTACTTAAATAGGCAACCAAAAGTTGCATGTATGGCTAGTTGTACTCTTATTAGTTGATAATCAGAGAGCTTAAATAGGCAATCTCCTAGTTAGGTTGCAGGTATGGCGGCTAGTGTAAAACCCAGACGGACTACTTAAATTAGGTACCAAAAGTACACGTGTGGCTAGTTGTATCCTTGTGAAATTGATGTAATATTGTAATTACCTGAATAAAGCTAAATGCTAGGGACCTAAGTGGTCACCTTAATATTAAAAAAAAAAAAAAAGTATAATAAAAATGATACTCATGAGATAGATGATAACAGATTTTGTATTATACTATTTGTTTTTGTCCTTGTAGTCTGGAGTTATTTATAGCTAATATGTTAGTTAATATTAGATTTTCAAGAATATATTGTTGTATTGCTAGGTTGAGCATTTGTTTTATAGCTAAGCACAAACCTTTAGGAGTATTTGATATACCAACTATTCTATTGTTAAGTTAATACTATTAGTATAAGCTGCAGGATTTAGATTAACTATATTAGTATTTAAAAATGCTTTTAGAATTAGTTAAATTAGTATTTCAGAATGAAGTTTATTTTATATAAACTCTATATTCTAACTCTAAATTTCTAAGAAATTCTATCTATTTAAATCTCATTCACATATAAAATAAAAGATACTTCTCTACTAATTTCAGTATTTATAGGCTATAACTTATTGTCTTTACTACAAAAATGCTAAAAAAAAAATGTAGTTATATACATATGTATATTTTACAACCTCTTTAAATAATTGTAGCTAGTTTCTAATTAAACTAACATGTTATATTTAGAACAAGGTTGCCAATATTTGCTTTTAACTAGATAAGTTACTTTATAAACTACTAAGAATTATATATATATATATATATAGTATAGATCTAAATAGTACAAATTTAATAGTAATTTAGTATATAAGAGAAAATTTATAATTTTAAAAATAAAAATAATAATTTATTTTTAAAATTTTTGGGGTTGTTCCCTTGGCTACACCTATAATAATTGTTTTTGATAAATAATAAGTATATATAATGAAAATCAAGTTTTGATCATTTATTTATATTCTAAAATAATCTAGTATACAGTATATAGGTATATACAAAAAAAATATTTTTTTATCTCATTTTCAACTATTTTGAAAACTGTGATAATTTATTAGTTTAGTATTAGAATAAAAATTAGTTTAGAGTTAAAGTAAAGTTAAAGTAAAGTATTTTAAAAAAAACTTTAATTTAAAATTTTGTAAAAATTTTTTTTATTAAAATATATATAAAGAGTTAATAAATTTATAATCATGGTTACTATAACTGCATCCAATAAAGCCAATTAAATTTTAAGATTAGATATAACTAGAGGTCTTATCTGGTCAAAAATTTTGTATTCGAATATTCATTTGTTCAATACTTTTAATATTCGAATATTCATTGAAAAATTATGAATGAATATTCGAATATTCATTGAATATTCATTGAATATTATATATACTATAAAACAATTTTATACTTTATTAATAC